GTGAAAAAATTTTTCCTAATATCCAGCCTGAACCTCCCCTGGGGCAACTTGAGGCCATTTCCTCTTGTCCTGTCGCCTGTGACTTGAGAAAAGAGACCGATCCCCATCTCTCTACACCCTCCTTTCAGGGAGTTGGAGAGAGCAAGAAGGTCTCCCCTCAGCCTCCTCTTCTCCAGGCTGAATAACCCCAGCTCCCTCAGCCTCTCCTCATAAGACTTATTCTCCAGACCCCTCACCAGCTTTGTCGCCCTTCTCTGGACCTGCTCCAGCACCTCAATGTCTTTTTTATGGTGGGGGGCCCAAAACTGGACACAGTACTCAAGGTGAGGCCTCACCAGTGCCCAGTACAGGGGGACAATCACCTCTCGGGCCCTAGTCACCACGCTGTTTCTGACACAGGCCAGGATGCTGTTGGCCTTCTTGGCCACCTGGGCACACTGCTGGCTCCTGTTCAGCCGGCTGTCCACCAACACCCCCAGGGCCTTTTCTGCCAGGCAGCTCCAGCCACTCTGCCCCCAGCCTGTAGCGCTGCAGGGGGTTGGTGGGACCCAAGGGCAGGACCCAGCACTTGGCCTTCTTGAACCTCATCCCTTTGGTAACAGCATCCTGGCCTGTATTCAGTCAATTGAAAAGGCAAGCTGTTGAGATTAGCTTACTTTCTTATTGCTCATCGCTTCTTCACATCACTTCACTGGCTCTTTTCCATCTGTAATCTGAAATCCAGCTCTTCAAAAAACCGTCCCACAGCTTCCCCTCTCACGTTGCATTTCTTGCTCGTCTCGCACCAGCTCCCCTCTACCCACTGCAGCTCCGTGCTGCTCCTCACTGTTAAGCTAAGCACACAGAAGAGGCAAGGCTGGCCTGAAAATTCTTCCAGCAGCACTGATTTCTGCCCACGAACATCTCCTTATGAAGTCACCACTACTCTGCTCCCCTACCCAAACCAAACGATGGCTCAAGAGGACACCGGAGACTTAAACATACGGGAAGAGAATTAAAGGGATGGTATCATGGCACAGGAATCATGTCACTAGGGATTACAACAGCCCTAATCCTCTCTTCCACCTTCCCACCTCCCTCCTACTATCTGCTAGCTAAGCCACTTCTAAAAATAAGACTGCAACCTCCGAGAAGTGGGTTTTGTGTCTTAATTCCAGGTGCCCTTAGAGGTCAACAAAACAGATGCACCATCATGAGTTGCTTGTTCCCAGTAACGTAGATGGTTTGTTCCCCACCAACAGGCCTCCAGCACCTGCAATTTCCTCTGAATGAGTTTTATTCCTCAACAAATCTCACCACGACAGAGCACCTGACTAGTGGCTTTCAGTCCCACTGCTTCAGCCTGTCACCTTCCTTCTTGCTCTTCCAGTCCTGAGCAGATCACATTGGAAAATGTGGTGTGAGGGTACGCTAACTAGTGGTGGGCTAACCAGTTAGCCTGCCCTTGAAGGAACACATCCTTTTGGGATGTCACCACAGGTGCTAACACCCAGTCTCCTTAATACAGTCCTGCACCCCAAACCAACAGGGATGTTCTTGCCTGAAAGGGCTGCTTCAAGAGAAATGGAAACTCCAAGTCACACAGTCAAAAATGTGCTGATATCCCCAGCCATTTTCCCCTCTTTTTCTTAGTTATAGATAATCTAGCCCTCGATATGCCAAAATCATGCTGATAAGCCCAGCCATTTTTCCTTCTTTTTCTTAGTTATAGATAATCTAGCCCTAGCAAGCAATGACCCTCAGACACAACCACCATATACTCCACTTCAAACACACCTAAAACCACCAAGAACTGCAGCATCTCATTACCTGTCCTCCAAACTCTTCAGTGTTGTACATATTTTAACGGATTTAATTAGTTTTTAAACTCTATCACGATAAATCCTTGTCTTATTTCTCTATAACTAACTGGAAAAAAGAGTGGTGGCCTTTTACATGGCTTTTGTTTTTTAGAGGAAGGTCAGAAATGAGAAAAGAACTCCCTGGAAGCAGTGGTGGTTGGTTCAGTGATGTGGTTGGTTTGCCAGGAGATGGCACCACATCCCCAAAGTTCACAGGCAGCACACTACCACCGAGGAAAAAGAGAGAGGAACTTGAGTGTGTGATTTTACTCAAAAAATTAAAAAAGGTACAGATATCAATCTCAACTTACATTTTGTATGTTTATCTGCAGGGCCATTTTGTAATGATTGAAGTCTTTTGCAAGTTCATATCCCTGGTGATAGAAAGTGAACAAACCCTGGAAAAACGATAGCACCTGAAATACAAACAAAAGACTGGTGAGAAGGAAAAACTCCATTTACCAGAATATGATTGCTGCATAAAGCCTTTTTTGGAAAGATCAGAGATGACAAGATGATTATTTTTAAACAAAGTTCCACTACTGCCTACAATTTATTAATAACTTTTTTAGAGCCAAATGATCAGCTAGGTATATAGGCATTTTTGGGTCATCCTCTCTGGAATTTCTCAACTGATCTCTACTTTAAAGTTGACCATAGGCAATGTATAATGCCTGTCTCCCAAACTTTCCTATGTAATGTTTTCCTACAGCTGCTCTGAAAGCAACGATGTCTAGAATAAATACTTGTGCACAAGGAGGTAATGATCACTCTGACTTTTAGTCATCGTTTCCCTGGTCATTCTCCTCCTTGCTAATGACCACATTGAGCTGACTTTAAGGGGAAACGGTTTTAAACTGGAAGAAAAAAGATTCAGATTAGATCTCAGGAAGAAATTTTTTACTATGAGGGTGGTGAGGCACTGGAACAGGTTGCCCAGAGAAGCTGTGGCTGCCCCATCCCTGGAGGGGTTCAAGGCCAGGCTGGATGGGGCTTGGAGCAACCTGGGCTGGTGGGAGGTGTCCCTGCCCAGGGCAGGGGGGTTGGAACTCAATGATCTTTGAGGTCCCTTCCAACCCAAACCATTCTATGGTTCTATGATGTTGAGCTGACTTTCATAACAGAGACAACTGGGTTTGTTCAAAGAAGGAATCTTCCCCTCCAGTAATTTTATCCATCACTGCCTTTTTTGAAAGCAGATCTGATCCTTTATCACAACCAGCAAATGATCCACCTTTCATAACAGAGTCAACTGGGTTTGTTCGAAGAAGGAATCTTCCCCTCCAGTAATTTTATCCATCACTGCCTTTTTTGAAAGCAGATCTGATCCTTTATCACAACCAGCAAATGATCCACATTGCAGTTGCCAACTTCAGTGTTTCATTTTAAAAGAAAGAACAAGTTCTACTATATTGGAAACAAAGAGCAGTACTGCCTACCTCTCCTGTTTGGTTCAGGTTTTTGGAAAGGAGCAAGTTACAAAGGAAAGACCAACTCTACTTTAATAAAGAGAACAAACCGAAGAACGTATTAAATGATCTGAAGTCATACGCAAATAAACCATTTTCAAAAAGTATTGTGAAGGGGAAAATGGGTAAGAATTTGGTACTAAATAAATTCAGTTTACTGAAATGATTTTACTAATTTTCAGTTTACCCCAGTGGGAACTTCAAGTGCAAATTAAGCAACGTAACGTTCAGCCCCACCCAGAGGGAGCTTTCAGAAAAGAGAAAGGGACACATTTCAAAAACATAATTTGCAGACTCTAGTCTGGGTCTGAGAAAACTTCAAATGGTTTGAAACGCAAGAACTGAATGCACAGCTATTCAGGACTTTTAAAAAAATATTATTAAAAACTAGAATATTTTTTAAAATATATCCCACAAACAAAAACCTCCAACATATCAACAACAAAAAAATCCCACACAACCATTTTTCAAAAACATTGTCCCATTCCTTGAACAATGCTAAGGCATTTTAAGCAATTTGTTTCCACTTAAGGATTTTAGCATTTTTTTCATAAAGGAATAAGCTATATTAAAATATGCAGCTCATTAGCTCCATAATGACCAACTACTTTGATTAGGGTCATTCGGAACTTTTTTTATTATTATATTAAAATAATTGTATCAGAATAAAAGGACAGGCTTGGCCCAAAACCACAGACCTCAGAGCATGAGCAAATGGAAGTCACTTCCACATCCAGCCTCCCTTTGTCTCAGTTTACTGTTTTCTTGTTGTTTCATGAAGTTGCATTTATACTACAAAGCTAATGCGGACTTCAGAATATTTTATAGTAAGTTCAGAGATGTAAATAAGTCTGGGGATTTTCATGTATGATTTTCACTGAAATTCAGTTGAACCCCTTGATTTCTGCACAGATTCAATTACAAAATCAAACAGATCACATGTTAATGAGCATTTTAGCCAGCAGCACCCTCTTAATTAATTTATATCTGCACTCCTTCACTAAAAGACCTTTAAGTGCAGCCTTCATATTGAAAAAAGAATTCCTTCCACTAGTCAGGAGTAACATTTGACTGGTTGAAAAAAAAAAAAAAACAAACAAATGCAAGAAGTCTGACCCAAACATCATCATCTTGAATCCCCTATTCTAACTCATCCCATAAATCAAGGTTTTTGCAGTACAGCACAAGGTTTCAAACCTTTTCTGAAAACCAGCATCAATGGATCCAAGTCAACTGTGATTACTGAGGTCAACTTTGAGACACCTGGTTAATTGTATTCGTAACTAGGAATTTGCACACATGTTAACAAGTGCTTTAAATTCTGTTAAGTCACAGAATTGCACAGGCTTCCCCAGAAAACAGAGCTCCTTGGCTTTTGTCCAGTTGCATTCCTCCTCTGCCCCTCACGAATGACAGGGCAGGCTGGATTCGTTGGTACTTACAGGTTCCACACACTCAAATTTCTTCCGCTCCTGTATCTCTTGCAACTTGCACACATACTCGAGGGACAGCTCGTAGAAGTGTTTTCTGTTCTGCTCCACTTGGTTATCTGCCTGCACACAGAACAGGGCTAATGAAGTTTCAAAGACATTTTGCAGGCAGCTTCCAAACGACGCACGTACCGCACGCAAGTGGCACGCGATAAGATTTCTCCAGACTGAGATTTGTTCCTTTCCCAACACAGCTCATTCATTTACTTTTAAATGGCAGCAGCAATTCCCTTTTACTAGGTAACATATGTTGTTTTTAATCATCAGGCTGAATTTTTTAGAAATAACACCTCTTCAAGCTTCTTTGCTTTGGAATCCAAGCCAAATACATCAGAGCAGGTACCTGTGCACTGCTTTAATGGCATTGAAAAGATGCCTGCCCAAACAGAGAGAGCATCTTCTGTTAGAAAAGGGGGAAATCATCTCTCCAGTCAAACTAAGGAAGAAAATGTTATTGTTGAAAACCACATTGCTGGTAGTGGAAGCCAAATAAATAGCCAGAACACTGTTGTACCCGTCCCACACCTTTGCTCACTCTGACTGGCAAGAAAAGCAATTAAAAAGAATTCACTTATTAGTAAAACACAAGTTTTCATAGACCATCAAATATTTTAAAGTGCAGCTTTATTAGCTGCAGCTGATTTTCAGCTCAGCTTTGCTAAAATGTTTTCACCATATTGATGGTGAACAGTCATATTTCAGCTGCCATTCATCTGTAGATAAACATTCAACTTTCTAGCATATATGTATTATTTCATTAAGTTACTAAGGTACATGTGCTCTCGTTAAACTATAAAAACTTCAAGAACAGGGTAAGGGAAACCTTGATTAAAATACATTAAAGAAAGGCTATAAAGGAATATTCTATGTGATTAACACTTAGCCTGCCCATGGGATAATACCAAATGCTTCTGAATTCCAAAAGGGCATGGAGAAAGGGTTAGGTGAAAAGACCAGACACACTATCATATGCTCTCTCTTAAATACTGAGACTATATCCTGCAGGCAGCACAGTGACTGCTGTGCTTTAAGAGGATAAGTCAAATTAGCTTTAAGACAGTTTTGCCTTAAGAGGTACTTTGCTTTGCTGCTCCCTGCTCGAAATGTGCCAGCAGTTAAAGGGACATCACAACAAAATCTAAAAAATAAAAGCACTGATGTGCACATCAGTAAGAAAACACGTTTCAAAAAGCCAGAGCATTTCTATGTGTGCTGTAAGGTGTTCAAGATTGGAATTCCTTTGAGTTGTCAGCAAAGCTTCTGATGATACACACACGTACTGAAGGCCCAGTCACAGAAAAAGACTATGAAGTGGGTCTACTGGGACATCTGGCTAATCGACCGTAAGACTGCCCTACATACACCAAAGCCCCTCGTAAGCCTGTTTCTATCCCTCTTCTTTGCTTTTCAGCTGTTTATTGCTTTGGTTGCCTCCCCCAAGAATACAATACCCAACGCAGCCCTTTTATTAACTCCTCTCAATTCCCCTGTAAATAAATTATCACATCTCTCCTCCTATTTTTTTTGAGGGATGCGCCCCCCTGCGCACCCAGCAAGTTCTCTCACTGTTACGTTGTACTTCATCTATTGGCCAAGAAATCCAGGAATAAGGCACACACCATGCCTCAGTGAAATTTCAGGAATATCCCTCCCCTAAGAGACCCAAAGGTGATGTTAATGTAAGACACACTCCACAACATGGCATGTTTTTCATCAATTTTTTGTCTGCGTACTTTTATCAATTTATACCTGCGTACTCTTGGTCCTCCAGTCAGAAAATCACACAACTAATATGTATAATACTAAATTAGGAAGCTTTTATATATAATTATCTACATACACAATTATATACACCTATTTTCTAAGGTTGTGTAAAAAAATTTTTCCTATTTAGCACTCTGACAACATGATGCAATTCTTTTTTTTAAGTTGCTTATACACTTATACTCCAAAATGAAATGCACAAATAAAAGCGCCTGAAGAATTTCAGAATTTTTGTTCATGAGCCTTTGAAGGACATTTAAAACAAATCTGTTTGCTCTAAAACTTCAGACTATGTTTGATACAGCTTCAAGATGCCTCATGTAGGCATGTTGTATTTTTCCACTGAGGTTAGGTCTCATTTCCAACTTTGAAATATGGTTCGTAATGTTATCCAGTAAGAGATCATAATTAATACTTTTTTTTCATATTTTCTGCATTAAGTTCTTTGGCAGCCGATCAATTTGATGGAAGTTTCTGAGACACAAGCAATGCCCACTAATTTCACCAGGACAACTCAAACCCCCAAGACACACTTGCTTGTGCATATGAGGACCTACGTTGCACAAACACTATGGAGAAGAAACATCCTAATGAAACTCAAGAACAATTAAAGTTCTTAAGTTCCTACCTACCTTGCCAGCTACATTAACCACTTTTTATGAAAAACAGCATAGATTCTATGGGGTGAGGTAGACAGCAGGGAAAAGAGTTATCTCTGAGGAAAACATTGTGTTCAGTGATACAAGGTATTAATAGACCAAGCATTAATAATTCTGACATAATTACATTTCTCTGGAAAAGAAAACAGCCTCTGCCTACAGCAAGTCTCTTCAAGATGTCTCTGCTGTTTTCTCATGTACGATTTGCTCTGCCTTGAGAAATAAAAGCTATTACAAATAAGGATGATGATAATAAACCCACAGGGACAGAAGGAATGCCAGGCAAAACAGATCTGTTTTTTAAGTTACAAATTGTCAATAAGCTTTTTCTTTGTAGCATTACTTGAAAAAGAACAGATCTTCGAAACATGAGAAAGAAAGAAAGGGAAAAAAAAAAGCCCAAAACCACTTTTGGTCAGGAATGTGTCTTGCTGTACTTTGCATTAAGCATGAACACAGGACACTTAGTCAATACATACAATGCAAAGCAAATTACATATATGGTAAAGCCTCGTAGGAAATGCAGCATTTTCCACAATATACTTGCACTTTGTTATCCCTTAATTATATTTAAAAAATTGCATGATGTTCAGTGTTTCATACACAGGCCAAGTAAAGCCCTCAACTCAGAAAAAGGTAAGGGTACACCACGAAGTTCAGCAAATACTGATTTCCTCACCAACCTTTCCAGTTGATGGAATTTTTTCATGTACCACTAAGAATGCTGGGTTTGCATCTGCATAAAGTATATTTACCTATTCAAAAGCCTTTAGCTTGCATAAAAAAAGAGAGAGAGGCAACACTACCTCTTGTAATTGTAGCTCTTTCTTCTTCGCTGATAAATTCAAATGCTTTTCTAACAAACTGTAGTTCTTCTCTGTCTCTTTATCAAACTTCTTCTTTTCCTCCTAGACACAGAAACAAAGTAACATTCATTTATATATAAAAATGTAAGAAAAGCCTCCTTTCTTTCCTCTTTTAAAATCCTGCTTAATCAGAAACAAAGAGAAACAATCTATCATTGCTGCAGTAACTAAGGAAAAGTACGTATTCAACTCCTTTCTTAAAATTAATTTAAATGTTAACTTGAAATGAAACTCCATTGCATCATTCTGGTGAAGGTTGCCACATGGACACTTACATCTTCTAAGTTAAAAAAGCCAAAAAAACACCTCTTCTTGATTTATTGCATCAGCCATATAATCTTGGTTTTGAATACGGGACTTCAAGGGAAATAGCAGTTTCACTGAAAAAAAAGAACTTTCCACAATCAACAGGGGAAAAGTTCTAACAGTTTGTGCTTTCTACAATCAACAGGGGAAAAGTTCTAACAGTTTCACAGTTCAAAACATAAGTGAATATGGCTCCGTATTCCATAGGATTTCTTGATTTTAAAGCCATATAAAGACCTCTGTGTCGAATTCCTGCTTCTGTTGTTGCTCCAGAGGAAAAAAAAAAAAACTAATGCAAAGACCTCTGTGTTGAATTCCTGCTTCTGTTGTTGCTCCACAGGAAAAAAAAAAAATAAAAGGAAAAAAAGAAAAAAAGAAAAATATCCATAAAATATAAAATCATGCTAGCAAAAGAGAAACTCCCACAGACACATATGAAAATGTATTTCCCTGACCATCAAAAGCAACAAACTGGAAGAGGGACAGCCATTAAATGTTTCTAGGAAATTTGAGTTCTTGGTTCTACTTTAATAGAAGACACTGTAAAACAGCTCTTTTGTTCCTTCAGTTCTAGTTTACTAACTCTGTGCATTAAGAGATTAATCAGTATTGAGAAAAATGAACCACGCAGTTTTGAAGTTATTTTTAGTATAATTAATTGCAGTTGAAAATAATCTAAAATAAGTAAAATCAAGTATCATATTACATCTTCAACAACTGACTCCAGAGACCCACTTGCTCTTCTTTTTTTCTGTTAACCTTTCATTTTTAATGATACTATATATAAAATATTATAAATGATACATGGTTTTGTTCTCCGGGTTCTGAAGATGGCGTTCTTTTACAGAGGGGATCTAAGCTGTTTAGAATTGCTTCTCAGCAAGCACTTTTACCAAAAATGCTAGTTTTTCCTCTAGCACAAGTCTAAGAATTTCCTTTAAAAAAGCAGCCACAATATTCCTTACAAACTGAGAAACGTGAAGATAAATATATGGTATTACTGTGATTAAAGACAACATATTAGCATACAGGAAATTAGGAAGAAAGTAGGAGCAGGGAGGGGGAATCTGTGTGTATATATTAGCAAAATTTTCATTGATCTGGGCAACATTTGAGAGCTGCCAAAAAAACCCAAAGATTGCTATTGTCTTCTAAGTAGGGAAAGCCAGAAACTCTACACATGTATTTTGGGATTAGAGCAGCAACACCTTTTACTAAGGGGTAATTCCAGTGCCAGGGAGCTGAAATTTTTTCCTCTTCTTTTTCTTCTTAAGCCTAACTCAGATCATTTAATCAGCAGGGGATTTAAGATACAGGAAAATGTGAGGCAGCAGATTCAACTTCTATTTTGTAATGGCAGAGTGTTAATTTTTCCTAAAAATTTTTTCATTACTACACAACGTTCCAGCTAGATTTCACTACTAGATGCTATAACTTGGTTTTCAGAGCTAAACAGTATTGTATTTCTAGTGTCAGTATTTTCATTGTATTTCATTGTATTCAGTTAAAAAAATTCAAAGAGTTAAGCATTTTTACAGGATTTTTAATTAAACCTTACACAACTATGCAAGGCTGTTCTATTTACGGTCATGATGAATTCTGTCCCAAAAAAACAGGCTAAATCACAAATAAGAGCTTCAACTTGAAGCAGTATAGAGGGACAGGAGGGAAAAAACATCCCTTCAAACAAAATGTGAGATGCAGACTGTGTGAAAGTAACTTGTCATGTTAGAAACATCAGGGACAGAGTTCTGACTAGGAAATGAGTGAAGATCATGAGATAATTTAAAGCATTAGGAGCTCTCACCCCCAAAATGGCAATGTTCTTTAACACCCAAAATACTTTTGAAATAATCCATTCAGGACAGCTTCTGCTATGACAACAGCTTACATTTAGCAAGAATTCTCTTCTTCCTTGGGAGATGCCCTACGCTACAGACCAAGTTTGTATTGAACGTTGGGTGTGACGTCTGAGGGACTTCTCAGAAGTCCATAAAGTGACACAAAGCCCATTGTACTACTGAACTGCAAGGATTTACCATCAACGGGGCATTTTCCATCCATCAACGCTGAAATCCTATTCAGAACATGTTAATCATTCCTGCTAAAGTCAAAATGTATAGCACTCTCATAATTGAAACATTATCTATAGCTATTACATATCACTGCTGATGAAGTCATGAAATTATAAAATAAAACATCTGCAGAGTGGTAGTTTAAAAGCTCTCATAACTGAAACATTATCTTAGCTATTACATAGCACTGCTGATGAAGTAATGAAATTATAAAATAAAACATCTGCAGAGTGGTAGTTTAAAAATATATGAGTTGAATTTTGCAACAGCAAATTGTGTTCAATAGCTGGGTGGTTTTCTTTTATTTATTTTTTAATACACATTTAAATTTCTCATTGGAAGAAGGCAGGCAGTTCAAATTTGACCCTGTTACTGTTATCCAAAGCTAGTCTGTATTTAATACATTAAGCTTACTTTGCATTGTTGGGGTTTTTTTAAATATACACAACATAATGACAAGCTTAAAAAAATTACTGAACACTCAAAAAAAAAATAAACAAAACACTAACTTTGCACGAAATCTTGTCTTTTAGCCTCTCCATCCTTTTTTGTTTCCTCTCATGCAGAGGCAATGCGTTATTTATTCAAAATAAAAACGAAAATAAAGGCAATTTTCACTTTGCAGGTTATGGTTAAAGATGAGCAAGCTCTTTTGGGTAGTTAATATTTTTCAGCCTTTGATTGTGCAACTGCAAGCAAATACAAAGCAGAGCAGGATTACCCATTAGGAAGGGGGGGCAGGCTGTTAGGAGGATTGCTCCTATTCCAAGCACAAGAGATAAGGGAGGGGGAGGAGAGGAAAAAAAGGGAGAGGACACATTCTTCTCTTCTTGAAACATACTTTCCATTTGTTTCTGAAGTGAGTTCTCAAAGTAGAAATTAAAAAAAAAAAAAGTGTGAATGCATGAAATATAAACAACAGGATCTCTCTGCCAAATACATGTCATTACCACACCGCAATGCAAGTAGAGAAATTAAACAAACTTATCATAAAAGCAAGGAGGGACAAACCTTTACAGCTCCTAGCTGCTCTTTCCTAAATCTTTCCAAAGGTTTGATCAGAGTTTCAGTAACACTGAGTGCCTAAAGGAAAAAAAAAAGCATGGGTTAGGTCTCTGTAGCCGGATGGACAAGGCACTTTAGCATCAGAAATGAAAAGAAAAAAAGCAAGCAAGCTCTGGGGTAAAATAAAAGAGAAGCAGGCAAGTTAGGAGCCTGAAGTCCTAACTCAAAAAAAAATTATATCTCTGAGTTCATTAGAGTTTTCAAAATTTCTATTCTTTATTTAGTTTTCCTGACAGTGGACTGAAATCTAAAACAAATGCAGAAATTACAGGCTTTCCTTGTGCCAGTCTCACAGCTCAGGTTGATGGTCTCGATGGCAGAACACCAGAACGAGACATAAGACAAATTATTTCCATTTGGGGACACAAATTTCACTATTTTCACCAGAACGAGACACGGGACAAATTATTTCCATTTGGGGACACAAATTTCTGCAACAAGAAACACTACAAACAACTGCAGAATAGACTACTCAGCAGCAAGCAAATAATCACCTTTTAACACACAGTGGAAGCCATTAGCATTGATACCTATGCTAGCCATTAGCATTGATACGTATTTCCAAATATTTGCATTTGAGTACATTAAGAAAACCTGAAGTTAAACCCACTTCAAGAGGCACAAAGTCAAGAAACAAGAGGTTTTTAGTTAGGTGAGCATCTACCAGGGCACTTTTGATAAATGGCCTCGTAGGCACACTAAAGAGAAAGGAAAAAGGAAACAACATGTCATTTTAAGACAGAAAACTGTAGCTTATTAGATCTGGCCAGCAAACACAGTTTTGTTTTTAGTTAGGTGAGCATCCACCAGGGCACTTTTGATAAATGGCCTCATAGGCACACTAAAGAGAAAGGAAAAAGGAAACAACATGTCATTTTAAGACAGAAAACTGTAGCTTATTAGATCTGGCCAGCAAATACAGTTTTTAGTTCACAGGAAATTTCACCAGGGATGGAGCAGGGTTGGGTTTGATGCAAAGACTTAAAAATTTAGACCATGTTTGAAATTTCAGTGAAGGTTGCAATTTCTTAAAGGCAACAACAGCATGGAAGAGACGGAAAGAGTATTGGAGGTGTGGAGGAGCAGGTGGGTTCCTTTTGGTCTCAAGGAGACCCACAGCATGGATTGTGCTGACAACTGGGGCTTAGCACAACCATGGGGCTGAGCTGCCAGGGGTCCAGGCAGAGCTCCCTGGAAGCCCACCTTAGATACACCATTCTTTCTATTCTATATTCTATTTTCTTTCTCTTTCTTTCTATTATTTTTATTTCTATATTCTATTTCTTTCTATTTTTTCCCCCATTGTCCATCCCCCACCCACCCCTTCCCCCCAAAAAAATGTGAAAAGTTTTAGATAAAACTTTGCAGGCTTAAACAAGCCTTCTGGAACACTTCCAAAAAAAAAAGCTCTTATCATAAAACCCAAGAGGGATGTATTAGAGACCTGGCAGAAGACAAATCTGAACAGCACTGGCTGCTCTCACCCACCCCTGGAGCCATGCAGGGATTACTGCTGGAGTCATCCTGCCAATTCACCGTCACCGCAGCAACCCAGCTCCTCAAACAGCTCCACTAACCCGTGGAGCTAACTGGAAACCCAAAATATGTGGCAAGTCTGGGCCAAACTGCACCTTGCCCAGTCATCCCCACCAACAGACGCTTCCTAACTGCAGAGCGTTTGTTCTCGCCACCCAAACTTTCCCCCTTCTGCATCCATTTCCTGATTTTTGTCAAAAAACTCTTCAAGCACCCTTCAGTGCACCCTTGGCAGGGGCAAAAGCAGAAGGAGACCTGACAGTTTTGTCCTTCAAAAGCGTAGAACAACACCGGGGTAACCACAGCAAAGAAGACCCTTGTGTTGAGCTGGGGGGTGAAGGAGGACAACAGACCAACTTCTGCCACGTCTCCAGAAGAGCTCACCCCAAGGCTTTGGGAATCCTCTTGGTGGCTGGAGAACCATTCGTTCCCTGAGCTGCACCCACCCCCACCAAAAAAGAGCCAGAGCAGTCAAATGCCCCAAACAGGAGCTGAGCTGTGGTTCTAGGAAGGGTTCAGCCCACCTGGCAGCCTGTGCTCATATAGCCCATCTACTCAAGCACTTAACAGGAGTCTCCAGAGCAGCTTTTAGGATACTCAAGTTTTTTTAGGGTACTCAGACTCCCAAAAAGTTTCCTGGAAATCCATAAGGGCTAAAAGGAAATTCTAAATAATTTGGATTTATAATCAGATTGAGCACCAGAACTGGTTTCCCAGGGCACTGCAGAAGCACCTGAGGACTGAAGGATCTCTCCTTGCTGACCACAAGGATTCCCACAAGTTGGAGTGGAGAACTAGTCCCAGAAGTCCTTCTATATCAGAAAACTTGGAAGCTTAAATTGTTTCTGCCAGTGTCCTCTACACTGACAAAGTGAGGGAGAAAGCTTTGAGGCTTCCTCAGAGCAAAACTCAGAGAGGATGATGCCGGCTGCCAGGAGGTGAGAGCATCGTGGTTAGTGGAATCATTTAAAAGCATTTAAAAGGTAGCAACTAAGCACTGAAATGTTGTTAGATATTTATTTCTAACCTCCTGACAGCAACTAAGCACTGAAATGGTCAGGAGGTTAGAAATAAATATCTAACAACAAGTTGCCTATTAGCTGTTTGAACCTTTACACAAAGAAAGTGCAATGTAAGATCAGCAGGCAGTTAATGTTTGCTGAGAGTTGCTTATTAGCTGTTTGAACCTTTACGCAAAGAAAGTGCAAAGTAAGATCAGCAGGCAGTTAATGTTTGCTGAACGTGAAGCCCACGTCAAAGAAAATCATAGCACCTTGATGTAACAGAAAGAGAATTTAAAAAAAAAGAAAGAAAGAAAAAAAAAAAACCCCACATGCAGAAAAACTGGCTGCAAATTACTTGGTCTGCTATGCTCCTGCACGGCATTAACCATGGGAACTACTACAGGAATCTGAAGCAGAAAATAATCTTTAAATCAAAATGGGATGTTCCCCCAGTGACTGCCAACAAACAGATTCCACTGCTGCCAGTGGTATGATACGCCAGTAATTCTTTCATTAAAAGAAAAACAAGCTTCCTCTTGCTTCCAGAAAAAGGCATTTCTCATTTTCCACAACTTCAACTTTTGTTAACAGCAGAACTTTCTCTCCAGCAGAATTTTGCCAGCCATAAATACAGATATTTAGGATTTACCACCACCTTTGCTTATTGTGTCTGGGTTAAACAACGGGGCTCTTGAGCATTTCTTGGTGAAGTGGGATTTTAGAGATCTTTGGTCATTCTCACGGAGCTTCATACCAGCCCCACGTGTAAAAACATGAGGAATATTTCCTTGTCACTGAAATGACCAGGTTTTGAGCCCCATGTGAGTTTGTACATGTATAAACATGACTGCTGAATTTAACAGTGAATTACAGAGATGTTCTTCTGACTGGCAAAAATAAAAACAACATTCATAAATAAATTATGCACCACACTAGATCAAATAGAGAGGCATTTGCACTCTTTTCCAGTACATCCAGTACATCCAGTGCTGGTCATGAAAAGCTACAAAAGGATACGAACTTATTTATGGAACAAAACCATTATTTACACTGCTATTCATCATTAACTTAGTTTATTTATAACTTGGGAGCTCAAACCAATCTTTTTTTTGTTTTGTTTTTTTTTAAACCCATGGATAACAGATCAGTACACAAAATAGTAAAATTCTCCCCGTATAAGACAATAAGCTAAGGATTCCATGAATATTTGTCATTATCACTTGCACCTTCCTTAAGAATTAGTACTATGTTAAAATGCAAAATTTCCAAGAAAAGTTATATTAAGCTTTGAAGTTAAATATTCATTAATATAACATTTCATGTTCCTTCCTCTTTCAACTTCTGTCTTGACTCTAATTTCCATCCCTCCACACCTCTAATCCTGGCAGATTATGATGACAGGAACGTACTATTTAAAGGGCATGAAAAAAATTCCTTCTTTTCTTTATACCTCTGATCTATCCAAACCCGCCTGAAAGGAATATAGACTCAATTTTAAAATCTGACAGGTAAATTATAGCAAATGTAATTCCTAAATGAATCAATATGAAGGGGTCATGTCTCAGGCAAGTCTCTTAACCAGCTTGAGGAACGTCAGAGTCGCAGGAATGCTTTAAGAAATGTTTAACCTGATGTGCACACGTGCTTCAGGCAGACAGTCTGAAACTGCTTATGCTACTCCTTTTCTATTTGCTGCCCCTATGGAAAGGTCAAAAAATTAACTTAACTGGAACATAAACCTGGCAACAGCAGCAATAAAATCATCATTGCCATCATCACCTGATGATTGCTGCGTTTCCAACAGCATCATAAAGCAGGCTTTCAGCTTCGCGTATCCCTCCTGATTTCAGATGCCTTCACAAAACTCCACCTGCTCAGGCAGAGAAGTTGTACAAAAAGGCCATAATCCTGATTTTGCCAGCTCCATATTCTTCAAAATAATTAAGTAAGAGGTCACAGATTAAGGGGCCCAAACCAACATTTCCTAGAGCAGCCCACAAAGGCACAGACTAAATCCATCAGCAAGTGCATTTCCAGCTGTTTGCTGCTTCATCTGTCAAGTCAACGAGATCCAACGAGTAACTCACCAGTCAGTGCCAGTCCACGAGATGACTCCATTTACCCTGTCACTTCTTCCCTTCCCAGAAAAGGTGGGAGTAGAGCTGTTTAGGGAGGAAATGCTTCCCCAAACACCTCTTTCTATGCACTGGAACCTGGGCTGTACAGGAGCATCAACCCTCAAGAGCTGTCCCAGGAGCTCAGTCCATCCCCTACGGCTTAAAAGGCTAGCACCAACCTAAGGTAATCAAAATTTATTTTGCCTTATTAGACAAATGCAGCATCCCAGCTTTCAGCCTAAAGATGGCCTTAGACCTTTACTGGAAGAACTGGAAATCACACACTGCTCATCAACAAATCTGGTGGGGAGGTAAATATGTGCTCTGACGCTGCTCTGTTCTGAATCCAAGCATTCTCCCA